ACTCAATTTGGGACACCAGACGAGGCCAAACAACTCCCTTCTTATGCCCAAATAAGGTTTCCATTTTCTTGTGAATTGAGATTCTACGGAAAGCAATAGGTGTTAGTCGGTTTTCATCTCCCATTCAAACTTTTCATATTTCATTCGAATGAACAGTGATCAAAAACCAATGACGAATTGCTCTATGTATTCTGCACATTTTTCGTCGTGGGAACCACGATTTTCGATGTTCCCCAAAACGGCGGCATCGGAGTTCACCATTCCTCAATCCAGTCTAGACATCTTGCATACAACCCCAAATCAAGCGGACTATTCGGGTAAGGAAATCATCTGTGCGTGTCCGGAATTTCATTCTCCATGGCCCACATTACCAACACTAGCACCAATGAGTGTTAACGCATTATTTTGGACGTATCATACTCTGTTACAGAGCCGTATAGATAAGGATTGGTATTCATTTCGTCCGAAGGCGAGTTCACCAGTCACTAAGACTGAATCCCGACGACAAACAACAGTTCCATCGACTGTCAGTACGACCACACCTGCGTCCTTTTGGTCTCATAAAGTGCATATCATGGGCAGGGAAAGGAAGACAGCAACCCAGACAGAATGCCAGAAGGGTTCGGATGAAACGATTCGCTCACTTCCGACCTACTCCAAATGGACGGAGAAACGCAATACAATGTCCTATTTGGCAGTCAAAGCTGCACGCGGGCGTGTATCTTCTCAATCGATCCATTCGCAATCAAGTGGGGCCACTGCATTCGAACGGATCGTGCCAACTGCACGCGTACTGGCCCGAATGGCCCGTATCCCGAATCTGATTGGTCCATACGTGTGTCGATTGTGCGAAGAGGAATTTGGCGATCCGTTCAAATTGGCCGCTCATCGTTGCCCATACATATTGCACACAGACTATCGCTGTCCAGATTGCGAAAAGGTGAGTTCACAATTAGCTGTTCGTATTTACCGTGTCCATTCATGCGCGAGATGATATTCAGTCACGTGATAGGTATGATTTTCAAACAGAAAATGAAATTTGAAATGATTGGGCACTGTTCTGCATCCGATTATCCTTTCATAGTCCAAAAAGATGAATTTATTGACTAACACAAAACGAATTGTTTCATTTGCGATGAAAATTTTGTGTGTGATGACCGGTAGACATCTGTTTCGTTCTCGTATGGGGCTACAGTCAATCAGGTGTAAGATTGCACCACTGGCTCAAACCCAACTAGTTCCATCAGATATAACATGTGAGCGAATAAATAAATCTCGTCGATGTGAAACCCACAATTAAAACACAAGATAACTTGTAGTAGTCATTGCATGTGACAACTACCTCGGTACCCTCCAAAGATATTCAGAATATTGTTTTTTCTCCGGTTGCGTCCACTTATGTTTACTCGATCTCCATGCCTTGGAAATGAGGATATTATTGTTGATAATAATAGCAACACAAATTACCTTTCTTCAAATCAATGTCAAATTCCTGAGGCTAATTACATTGACGTCTCAAAAATAGCAATCATTCTGAAAAACGGGTCTTTCATTGCATTTGATGGCAGGTGTTTCAGTTATGTCACTTTAGGTGTTTATCTGTGAATAATGAGTATATTGTCGATTGCAGATGGCCGAGTAGAACCAGTAGTAAGTATTTGTTTTGCCTCAGATGCTCAACACAATTTGGGGTCGGTCTGTCAATGTACCACTCCGCGTATGTATTACAAAACAAATTTTGCCCGTCTTCCATTCATGCAGGCATTCTAACGGTATAGTTTGGGGTTGGATTGAAGCTGTTCACTTATACGGTGACAACCTGATTCTACACGGGNCACGGGCGTGGCATCAGACGACATGAATTCAAGTCACATCAAGTCAAGTCACCAAATCGCTTTTAATTCACCCGATCGGGGAAGAATATCTAGCAGCTACATACTCGTCCTTCTGTGGTAGAAAAGTTGAGGTGAATAGAAAAAATGCTAAAACACTGCACAAACAAACGAGTAAGCAAAAAAAGTCTGGTTTGAGTTTAAGACCAGACGCGATATTACATGCATTACATGCATGTGTTCGGTGCATGCTTATACTTGGAGTGATCGGCAGCTACGGAGATAATTTAATAAGATGCGAATAAAGAGAATGAAATGGGTCTAGCAGTTTCTGGCAAGCCTTAAAGTGCTGTGAAATTTTAAACTGCAAAATAAGTTCGCTAGATATGCCACTGTATGGACATGCGTTTTTCATAGATCTACGTATGAGTTTGAAGTCGCGACGATAAAACCGAGAAAGATATCTGGGAAGGCATAAATCCATTTAGGAAGCACGCATGAGAAGACAAAGCGTTTAATTAATGGATCGGTTAGATATCATTTTCAGTTTTCCAAGGGAAGCACCTACCGCAGCAAACCTTCATATATTCAGTCTGGGTATCATAAACAGATTACAAATAGAGGGAAATCTGTCTGATGTAATGTCTGTTTGACCCGGCAAGATTTTTGGGGTGACGCCGGCAAAACTGACGATCACGATTTGGAGTGAGTGTGGCATGATCAGAAGTACCAAATAGAGGAAAAGTAACGCACGTTAAACAAGTTTGGGTCTTTAACGAAACACAGATCGAGACAAGCCTCGAGTCTAGCCGGGAAGTTAATGATATTCTACAGTCAAAGAGTAATCAAGAAAGTGACAACAAAGTCAGCACATGCGATGCCTAGGGAAGAGTCTATATAATTTAGAAAAACGGTGGATAAATACCTATACACTCATTAAATGGTCAACGCGACAAGAAGGGAAAATATAAAGTATACCAAAAATTATGTTCCGGTAATTGCTAAGGTATTTGGGTCTGCACTAGTACAGAGAAATACTGATAACATCTCTCCGCCACGCTTCTAGCTGTGGTTGAATGTGGCAAACCGGAACTAGGTGTAAAACACAACTGCACTGTGTCACAGAACGAGGTTGAGATCAGCATTTGCTATCTTATCAGGGTTGGTTAGCAGTGTGTCCCGGCCGGAAATTGAATTGTGCGGCTACCCACAATGGGTGACCAGAAAGAAAGTGGCCCATTGGTTCATGGAACTTCAAAACGGGTACATAGTGCTATAAGGCCATCAATGACTTCTGTGGAGAAACAGAATTTATCTTCAAAGATATGGCTCAATGACATTTAAGGATTTTTCTTTTCTTTCCGTAATTTTGTCCTGAGTTCAAATGTTCGAGATCTTTTGAAATTTTAAGTGTCAGTTTGCTTCCTATGCATCACGTGATTAAGCTACCACTCATTAGCCATGCAACCAATAGATCGGGAACACAGTCACCGATAGGCAGGTCGATTCATTATGTTAGTTCCATAGGAGATAAAATAGCACTTATGGTCGGGTAGTTCGCACTTTCATGACTCAATCAACGCCGTGTATAATAATTGCTTTGTAATTTTGATAGGTTATCATTTTGTCATAAATTCAAAAGACAGTGCCGGAACGAGGAGATTTAATTATTACTAATAAAGACGGTAAGGGTATCACTAAACTAGCATACATACAACAAAATGTCTCATTTGGAACGTACTACTCTTAACAATTTCCCTAGTACTGTGAATAAAAACCAACAAGAGTTCACACAGTCTGGTAGGGGTTAGAGTAGAATGTATTTAGCAAGAGTGATATGATCAAACTTTCCTTATGTTTTAGTTCACGTTAACGACGGAATCCTGCATAATAACCCCGTCTACCATATTTAACTTCCATAAAAATCACAAAGATCTTTTACCTGTTTCTTCCTATGACCTGGTGCATTAGTTTACAAGCGTCTTACACCCCACACATCATTCACCGTATCCTATAATGTTAATTGGAAGTGAAAAGCATGTAGGTGGTCTATTCTTGCATTCTGTTGAAATACATTGTTGAAATCTTACACAGATCTCAACAACTGTTGACTGAGTTTCCGCGGTTGATGGGTTTATCTATTCATCAAAGACACCACTATCANNNACAATAAGAATCCTATTCAGGGGCCAGTTTTCGTTCTGTGAATGTTTGCGATTACGGCAACCCGGTCGCGTTCACCCGAGGTCACAGAACTACAGAACGTGATGATGTGACGAAGTGGGAAGGACCAGGCGTGCCGTAGTCAGTTGAAAAGGTCACACCTATTCGATCACACGGTCAATTTTCAACCTCCAAGGGATAAGTTGCGCGTCTTTGTCGAAATATAATTCGGATGCATGTCTGCATGTTATTCACGGTTGTTTGGCTCAAACGACTCGAACTGAATACCATTTGTAAGTGTTTAATCCGTCGCTGCCGGAAACTCAGCTCTACGCCATCACACTTCGACTATTTCATCCGTTTATAGTAACCCTACGTTAAACTGCTCACTGTTTTCCAGTGTGTGCACCATGTTCGACGGATTTCGTTCCCCATTCGCTTCAGCTCTTTCACGCCCTTTTGTGATTCTTTTGATTCATATGGCTGNTACGTGACTGTTCTTTTACTGTCGTGAGCCATGCGCGCAGTATTCAGTCAATCAAGCGCTTTTCCTTTTATCTGGTACGACATATAGAAGAAAAGACCTCCATCGACGTCTATTTTCTTTCTCCTCCGTAACTTTGATTGCGTCAATTCATGGTTGGGCAACATCCACTGTGGCCTTGCAGTACCCGAACAAGAAATGAAATGTGGAAACCTATGTAACACCTTTTGGGGCTAAAGAGTACAGTGTGATTTCGACAAACAGAAGATATAACAGACCAGATTGGTTTAAATTAGCTTTTCGCCGCTCACTTCCCATAGAGCTGAAGTTACGGGGCACCTACGTGTTCATGATACTATGTGAACAAACAAGAAGCCGCAGCAACTATGACATCGGATTCCGGTCAACATTGGCTGCGTCGGGGATGCAAATTTCGCAAAATGAACTGGGTTTCCCGGTAATCATCACCGGCTTGGCGTATTCTCATCGGGCCTGTCTGCTCGAGAGATGGTGTGTTTCAATATTCTGTTGAGGAGACGAGAACCCAGACAGAAAAAATATTACATCGCATGCATGTATTGTGCGGGCCTCGGGTAGAATTCATCATCTACAAGTAACCAATGGTTCAAATTATCCCTAAGTTTTGAACTGGAATCACTATCTGAACGTATTTCGGTAACTGACGTTCAAGACGTATGGATTGCAAGTTCGACCTACTGAATACAGTGTGATTAAAATGTGTGCCTGAAATGAAGCTTGTATTCGTTTTTCTGAACTTTAATCGTACAACTATCAAAAAGCCCACCTGATTTCATGGGTGATGGTGGTCATGCGTTTAAGGTCATCTTCAAAATGGCCTGAATGTTGTATCTTTGAAAGGCATCACCACGTACTCTCCCCTCCATTCTCAGATCACAGACCACCTTTCATTGCTCCCATGGGTCTTACTGATTGAATGCTTTCTCACAAATCTGTGCTCTGTTACATACAATGAGCAGAGAGAGTAGTAGTGAATTTAGTTGCATTTTTTCGTGAATTTTATCGTGTACAGAACAAATGCAGCGTGAACTGAAAAGCTAAGAAACATTAGATAGCTGTTTCAACAACTGATGAGCCCCAACCAAATCGAAACGGATGTCTAGTGCTTCGCAGCTTTTTAGTTCACGCTTTATTTACTCTGTACACGACGGAATTCACCATTTACGATAAATAAGAACATACCTTATGCCGTACCTACCCATTTAAAGTTCCAGGTGATGTGTAAGAAAGAATGATTTAATTGATTCAAATTGCACCCGGAGGTTTGTTCAGAAATAGAAAACCCTGATTGTGCATCCTGAGTCGAATTTCCCGAAACCAACCGATTAACTAGCTTTGACATGAGTGATTGTTCAATTTGTTTTACCACTCTAGAGGATGTTTGTATGCTGGGAAATATATTTCTTTATCGTGTGATCACAAGCTGAGGTGCTGGAAGAGGATGCACATTGATCACGTATTTGAAGTATAGATATA